TCCTGGCTCCTGGCTTTGGATTGGCCCAGCTCCAGCCTTTGCAGCCATTTAGGGAGTGAACCAGCAGATGGAAGATACCTCTCTCTCTCTCTCTCTCTGCCTCTGCCTCTCTGTAACGCTGCCTTTCAAATAAATAAATAAATCTTTAAAAAGAAAATGTTAAATTCCTCAGGAGAAAGGAAAATGATGTCAGAAATTCAGATCTATACAAATAAAGGAAGAGTGTTTAGAGAAGGAATACGTTAGGTAAAATAAAATCTTTTTTTAAATCAATCTAATCGAAAACTGTTGGCTTAAAACAATAATAACCATAATGTATTGGGTAATTACAGCTTACAAATAAACTAAATGAATGACAGAAACCATATAAGGAATGATAAAGAAGAATCGGAAATATTCTTATTTAAGGTACCAGTAATACTTCAGAACTGGTATAGTGTTATTCAAAAGTAGATAAAGGGTCGGCGCTGTGGTGCAGTGGGTTAAAGCCCCAGCCAGAAGTGCCAGCATCCCATGTGGGTGCTGGTTCGAGTCCTGGCTGCTCCTCTTGTGACCCAACTCTCTGCTACAGCCTGGGAAAGCAGTAGAAGATGGCCCACATATTTGGGCCCCTGCACCCACATGGGAGACCCGGAAGAAGCTCCTAGATCCGGGCTTCAGATCAGTGCAGCTCTGGCCGTTGTGATCATTTGGGGAGTGAACCAGAGGATGGAAGACCCCTCTCTCTCTGGCTCTACCTCTCTCTGAAACTCTTTCAAATAAATAAAAAATAAAAATAAATAAAAGTGGATATAAATTATCTGTAAATATAGGTTGCTGACTCTAGGACAACCACCAGAAAATTTTATAATAAGTTTATTTTATATGGTAGGAGTGAAGACAAAATGGTACCATACAAAAGGCTCTGTTAAAATCAGACTAGTAAATAAAAAAGAAGGAATATTTTTAAAAATTGAAAATGAAGAACACAACAAATAGAAAATATTAACAAATATGGTAGCTATGAATCAAAATATATCAGTAATCACTTTAAATGTGAATTTTCTAAATTTATCAATTAAAAAACATACTGTCAGAATGGATTAAACAAATAAGAGTCAACTATATATTGTCTACAAGAAATCCATTTTAAATACAAAGACACATGTAGATTAAAAGCAGAATAACAGAGAAAGATAAATAGGTACAGATTTAGATATAGGGCTTTGCTAACATTAATCAGAAGAAACCTGGAGTAGCATGTATCTGTTAAAAGAAGTCAATCTCAGAACAAGGAAAATTATCAGGGATAGATAAAGAGAGGCATTGATGAAGTGGTAGCAGTCTTAACGTGTACGTGCCTAACAGAGCATCAGAATAACGTGAGGCAAAAACCCACAGAACCTCAGGAGAAAGACAAATCCACTGTTATCCTTGGAGCCGGCAACATCCTTCTATCAGTAGCTGACAGTTGCAGCAGGCGAAAACCATTAAGGGTGTAGTTGAATTGAAGAACAACATCAATCAGCTGAGTTTAATGGACAGTTGTAGAATGCTTCATTCAACAGCATCAGAATACACATTCTCCTCAAGTGTGTATGGAATACTCATCAAAGACAGCTGACATCTCAGATCACAATTCATACCCTAGTAAGTATAACATAGAAAGCATACAAAGCATGCTCTCAAACTAACATGGAAATAAACTAAAAATTAGCTAACCAGTATCTCAAAATATTTGGAGACTAAACAACACAGTTCTGAATAATACATAGGTAAAAATAGTCTTGAGAAATTTTTGAAAAAAGGAAAAAGAAAAGACAACATCAAAATGTGTGTGAAAGCAGGGCTCACAGAGAAATTTAAAATGGCACAGTCACCCTGTGACACTATTTGGCAATTAAATTAAATTAAATTTGGCAATTAAAACAAAACCACGGTGCTGTAAGACCCAGCAATAGTGCCCCTGAGAACCGCACTTTGCATAAGTGAAGATTTATGTTCACACAAAAACCTGTTCTTAAATGTTTATTGATAGCATCTACTTCATGATAGCCACAAACTAGAAACAACACACATATACTTGATTCAACAAACTGGGACCCATCCCATTCCACAGGATACTACTCAACAATAAAAAGGAACAAACTGTTGACATATGCAAAAACCTAGGTGAATCCCCAGAAAACTGTGATGAGCAGAGTCCTATCACCTCATTCCACTTACACAACACGCTTGAAAGAACAAAGTTATTGAAATGGAGCGCAAATGAGGGATTGCCAGGAATTTGGGAAGGGATGGCGCTGGCAGGGAAGTGGGTGTGGCTATAAAAGGGCGACATAAGGACCCTTGTTCCGTATCTTGGCTGAGTCAGCGTCAATATCCTGGTTGTGGAAGGTATTGTACTATAGCTTTACACAATGTCACCACTGAGGCAGAGAGTAGAGTACAAGGGATCTCACTGTACTGTTTTCACAACTACATATGAATCTTTAAAATAGTCATAAGTCAAAAGTTTATGAAAAAATAATAGGATTGTGGGCTACATGAGTAAATGCACTGGACTATATTTATTGATCTGCATCTACCAGATCTGTACCTTTCATGATATATAAATTTTATCTCAACCCCAAAACATTTCACTTCCTAGCTTTCTAATTCTTTTCAATTATAAAGGAATGCTCAGGGGGCTGGCACTATGATGTGGGTAAAGCTGCCACCTGCAGTGCCGGCAGCCCCTATGGGCACAAGTTTGAGACCCGGCTGCTCCACTTCTGATCCAGCTCTCTGCTATGGCCTGGGAAAGCAGTAGAAGATGGCCCAAGTGCTTGGGCCCCTGTACAGAGGAAGCTCCTGGCTCCTGGCTTTGGATCGGCACAGCTCCGGCGGTTGCGGCCAATTGAGGAGTGAACCAGCTGATGGAAGATCTCTCTCTCTCTGCCTCTCCTCTTTCTGTGTAACTCTTTCAAATAAATAAATACATCTTTAAAAAAAAAAAAAAAACTATCTTCTGAGGCATGCCCTCAGGACCTAAAGACTTCTCACAGGCCCAACTATCAGACACCATAGCTAAATCAACTCGCCATCCTGAATCCATCAAATCTTAACTAAGATGTCAGAGTTTAAACATCTACACAAGTAGTTTGGGGAGCCAAGTCCTGTTCAACCCATAACATCTATGTACCCATGTTACTTGCAAAAATAACCAACTTTTTTAAAAAAAATCTATGAAGGAGCCGGCGCCGCAGCTCACTAAGCTAATCCTCCGCCTAGCGGCGCCGGCACACCGGGTTCTAGTCCCGGTCAGGGCGCCAGATTCTGTCCCGGTTGCCCCTCTTCCAGGCCAGCTCTCTGCTGTGGCCCGGGAGTGCAGTGGAGGATGGCCCATGTGCTTGGGCCCTGCATCCCATGGGAGACCAGGAGAAGTACCTGGCTCCTGCCATCGGATCAGTGCGGTGCGCCGGCTGCAGCAGCCATTGGAGGGTGAACCAACGGCAAAAGGAAGACCTTTCTCTGTCTCTCTCTCTCTCACTGTCCACTCTGCCTGTCAAAAAAAATAAATAAATAAAAATAAAATCTATGAAGGAACAAACTGAAGATTTTATCACATAAAAATTACTGTCTCAGGGGCCGGCACTGCAGTATAGAGGGTAAAGCCACTGCCTGCAATGCTGGCATTCCTTATCGGAGCAGATTTGTATCCTGGCTGCTCCACTTCCAATCCAGCTCCCTGCTAATGGCCTGGGAAAGCACAGAAGATGGCCCCTGGCACCCATGTGAGAGAACTGAATGAGGCCTCTGGATCCTGGCTTTGGCCTGCCCAGTGCTACTCATGGTGGCCATTTGGAGAGTGAATCAGCAGATAGAAGATCTCCCTCTCTCTCCCTCTCTGTAACTCTAACTTTCAAAATAATATTAAAATGACTATCTCAAGAACCAACCTGAGCAGTAGCTAGAGGGAGGTTCTCGGTGCCCACTGTCAGCCCTGCCCTGCCCTGGCCTCGTGGAGCTGGAAGGGTACAACCCAGATCTCAAGCTCCGCAGGGCCCAGCTGAGGTCAGCTCACCAGGATGTTCCCAAGAGCCCGATGCCCGAAGTCCCGGAGTGGGCCACAGGCACAGGGGACACGTGGATGGGACAGGAGGGTGCAACAGGGCCCCTGACGCTACCACAGGAAAGGTAGGGAAGGGCAAGCAATGGATCTGAGGGCAGAGGGACCCAGGATACAAAATCTGCTCAAAGTTAATTTTAAAAATATTATTAAAAAAAAAAAAAAGGCAGAAAAAGTATGTCATTTTGTTTGAAAATGAAATTGAACTTAATTTTTTTTAATGTTTTATTTTATTTATTTGACAGGTAGAGTTACAGATGGTGAGAGGGAGAGACAGAGAGGAAGTTCTTCCATCCGCTGGTTCACTCCCCAGTTGGCAGCAATGGCCGGAGCTGGGCGGATATGAAGCCAGGAGCCAGGAGATTCTTCCAGGTTTCCCACATGGGTGCAGGGGCCCAAGGACTTGGGCCGTCTTCCACTGCTTTCCCAGGCCATAGCAGAGAGCTGGATTGGAACTAGACCAGCCAGGACTTGAACTGGCACCCATATGGGATGCCGGCACGGCAGGCAGAGGATTAACCTCCTGTGCCACAGTGCTGGCCCCGAACTTAAATTCTTGATCAAAAATTAATGCCATTAGTCTTTGAGGAATATGATTTTAACAATGACATACCTAAAGGAAAGTAATAAATGGATTTCATTCTCATAGAGACCCTTCACCTCAATATTAATTTTTTAGGAAGTTTTTATTTAATAAACATAAATTTCATAGGTACAGCTTTTGGGTTATAGCAGTTCTTCCCCCCACACCTGCCCTCCCACCCCCATACCTGTTCCACCTCCTACTCCCTCCCCCATCCCATTCTTCATTAAGATTAATTTTTAATTATCTTTACATACAGAAGATCATACTCTATACTAAGTAGAGATTTCAACGGTTTGCACCCACACAGACTCACAAAATATAAAGTACTGTTTGAAGACTAGTTTTAATGTTAATTCTCATAGTACAACACATTAAGGACAGAGGTCTTACATGGGGAGCAAGTGCACAGTGACTCCTGTTGTTGATTTAACAATTGACACTCTTATTTATGGTGTCAGTAACCACCCGAGGCTCCTGTCATGAGTTTCCAAGGCTATGGAAGCATTCACCTCACTATTAATTTAACAAAAACAAAACCAACTTATTGACATGGTGTTTAATAAAGAAATATTTTAAACAGAAAAACCAAGCAAATCAGAGAAAAATCAAGCAAAACTCAAAACAAAGAATAATGCCATTATTTTTACTTAGATCAAGGCATGAAAGATTAAACATTTATATATATGTATGTATGTATGTATGTATATTAGGGGGAAGGAAGGCTAAGAGCAGATCCGAGTGTCTACCAGGCAGTGTGTGACCAGGTGGTAACCAGGCCACAGGGCCTGCTGAGACGCGCTCTGCTGCAGGGATAAGCCCGCCAGCAGATGGCACCGCCACGGACACGCCGCAGTCTCCCCGGGTGTGGAGGAGAAACACGCTAAGATTTTGCAATCTAATAACCCGTTTCCCATGACCACCTTCAACCCGCTCACACATGCTATTTCATCATGTTTCCTCTCACTGGGGAAAACTGTTTTATCCTATGCAGCCTTCACATGCAGACACCAACTGCGTGATGTTTTTTTCCTTATCAGTCAATCATCCGATATCCGGACACCAGCTGGATGTCATACAACTCAATCTGATTCCAACTGCCTGCAGTTAGAACAGATTTCGCCTGAGGGCTCAGTCTCGCCAGACTGACCCCCACTTCAGACACCAATCACAACCATTGGGTCCCAGGTTTCCCCCCTTCTCTCCAACTGGGCTACAAATCAGGGGTTCCCACTGGCACCTCAGGTTTGACAACAGGATGACTCACAGAACCCAGGGAACCACTTTGCTTCCATTTACCACTGTATTACAAAGGATGCGCTCAAGCACTCAGACGTATGAACAGTCAGATGACGAGGTTCTCAGGGCAAGGTCTTAGAGGGGTCTGGGGGCAGGAACTCTGTCCTTGTAGATTTGGAGTGCACCTGCAGACATCCAGATGTTCACCAGCCCAGTAGCTCCAAACCCCACAGTGAATGGGTTTTGATGCCTTCATCACACAGGCATGATGGATTATTAATTCAATCTCCAGCCCCCCCACCCCCGCTAGGGGGTGGGACAGGCCAGGGAAGCTAAAGTTGGAAGCTTCCATCACAGCTGGGTCTTTATGGCCACCCTCAAGCTCTCCAGGAGCCAGCGAGCGCAGCCTCATGAGAACAGAACACACCTCTACACCAGGAAATCCAAAGGGATTCTGGAGGTCTGTGTCAGGAACTGGGGTCAAAGGCCAAATGCCAGAACTAAAGGTACACCCCCAACACTCGGAACATTCCCAGGGTTTCAGGAGCTCTGCACAGGAAACTGGGGAGCAAAGATCAAACACACGTTCCTTATTCTACCACAGTTTGACATCAGCTCAATGCTCTTTTATTACTCTCTGATTACAGTTGGAGGTTTACAGACTGGTTTATATGAAATGCATTTCAGGTAAGCTGCTCCCTCAGGACATTCAAGAAGCACAAATCATCAGGCGGATAAGCTGCCTCTGAATCCAACTTCTAGGAAGTTGCCCACAGATGGCGATGCTGCTGATGGAGTTTAGACACCAATGACCTTTTATTCCAGAGGGCCTGAGTATCCTTGATTTTATCTTCTTAACCTTTTTCCTCCAATGTCACAACTGCACCCATCTCATTAGGGTCTCATTACTGCTCACTAAACACAACAACTGGATATGAGCACCACTTAGTTCAATTATGTACCTAGTACAGAGGCTTAGACAGGTGGTTAAATATTTGCTGAAAGAAATGGAACTCTGAAATACATAAGCTTTATCCAAAAATAAGTTGTATTTTCATACAAAACAGAGAAAGGAAATAAAGTAGCTAACAAAATTATATATATGGCAATTCCAGGATAGCCTGCATACTCTACCGCTGCTCAGTTCAAAAGCTCACAAGGGCCTCAGGTTATAACATAGCGGGTGAGTCCGCCCCCTCGGACCTCCGATAGCCTCCGGCAGTGTCGTAAAATGTTCATTATCACATGAAATCTCTTGTCAACTTTCAAAGCTGTGAACTCCTTTATATCAGCTTCCACTATAAAATAATGACCTGAGAATAAAAGTAGGAATGCAAGCTTTCATAAAGTCAACTTTCAAAAGGATTCTTTTTTCATGCATGTAAATACAAGTATGTAAGGCATCAATCATTCTGTCATCATCCAATAAAATCTAGAACTGGTATGACTGCTAAAAACAATAATTATTCTATCAACCAAAGTTGCATGCGATTTACTATAGCACTGTAGCCCCGTTTATTAGATCACCAACTACCTGCTGATGCCTCTCGAACAATTCACTCCAAGAGGCAATACAAGCAGTGTTCATGGAATAACACCCACAGCAGCTCTATCAGTTAACAAGATAACCTCGGACAAAGAAGCCAAGCTCTTTGCCTAGTCTGCCAAATGGGGTAATCGCAAGACCTTCCCTAATAAGGACACCGTGAGGACTAAAGTGCTCAGCGTTCTATCTGGAACACAATGAGCGCTATACAAGCACGATCAACATTATCATTATTGTTCTGACTCTCAAAACACTGAGCGTAGTTCCACAACAGATTCTAACGCAGTGCTTATAACCCTCAGCACCAGACACGTTTGGTGCCGTCCTGTGCATTTCAAGGGTGTTCTAGCAGCATCTGTGGCCTCAACCCATTCGATGCCAAGAGCATCCTCTACCCCAACTGTAACCACCAAGAATGTCTCCAGATATGGCAAAATGTTCCCTGGTAGGGCAACTGCACTTGGTTGAGAATTCACTCCCTAGATTTAGAAGTTTCTAGAATTAACTTTGCTTCTCATAACACACTCAACACAGCTGATATATACACAGATACATGCTATCATTTTACCTTTGGTATCTTTTGTCTCTTCATTAATAAATCTGTGATACAGATTTCTGGTCACAGAATTCATAGATGCTTTTGGTTGATGGAGGATCTTGTATTTACTAATTACTGCCTTGTTGATTTCTTTAATAACATCATTAATTTGACAATAGGTTAAGCGGGATTTCATGTACCTGTAAAAAAGTATATGCCATTTTTTAAAAAATCATCACACAAATTACCTTCTTTTAAAAACGAAGAATGGTTTACCATAGTACCTTTTATAATAGATAAAGTCCTCCCCCCATTTAAAAAAAAAAAAAAAGATGTATTTATTCATTTGAAAGTCAGAGTTACAGAGGGGGTATAAGGGAGAGACAGAGAGAGAAAGAGAGATCTTCCATCAACTAGTTCACTCCCCAAATGGTCACAACAGACAGAGCTGGGCTGGTCTGAAGCCAAGAGCCAGGAGCTTCTTCCCAGTCTCCCATATGAGTGCAGGGACCCGAGCATTTGGACCATCCTCCACTGCTTTCTCAAGTACATTAGGAGGGAGCTGGATCATAAGTGGAGCAGCTGGGACTCGAACCAGCACCCATATGGGTTGCCGGCATTGCAGGCAGTGGCTTAACCAGCTATGCCACAGTGCCGGTCTCAAGTCCCCTTTATAAGAACAATTTTATATCAACTTCCCAATAAGCCAGACATATTTCAACAGCTGAAAAATTAAATATCACTGCCTGTCTTTCCCAGTTATATCTAGATGTATAATTTCTATTCTCCTCCTACAGTAAATACTACAATTTAAAATAAGCTCTCAAATTCTGAGTCAAATGGACTAACTACAAAGTATAGATTTATTTTAAAATGTTTGCAAGCCAAGAAAATTTTAAATATCAAGAAAGTATATAACACATAGAATTCTGGTTTTCTGCAAGAACTATCATCTGTTCAGAGAGGAAAAAAAGCAGAGGGGAAAGTTGACAAAGACGACCACAGGGAAGATGACAACAAAGACAAAGAACTGATGGGGCGGAGATGCAAAGAATGTGAAGAAAAGGCGGGCAGGGAGAATCCGCAGAGCCACGCCCATTCCTGCCGGCCCCACCCACTCCTTTCCAGCTTGGTCTCTTCTGCTCTTAGAGGCCCCTCTGCAGCCTGAGTCTTGCCTGCCCACAGGCCCCCCAGAGCCTCTGAATTCTGATCAGGCCGGACACACCAAAACCAAACCATTGTGTTACACCCTGTCTTTCGTTTCTATTCAGAGTGGCAGTTTTCTTTTCCTTTTTTTTTTTTTTTTTTTTTTTTTTACAGGCAGAGTGGACAGTGAGAGAGAGAGACAGAGAGAGAAAGGTCTTCCTTTTGCCGTTGGTTCACCCTCCAATGGCCGCCGCTGCAGCCGGCGCACCGCGCTGATCCTGGCAGGAGCCAGGAGCCAGGTGCTTTTTCCTGGTCTCCCATGGGGTGCAGGGCCCAAGCACCTGGGCCATCCTCCACTGCACTCCCTGGCCATAGCAGAGAGCTGGCCTGGAAGAGGGGCAACCGGGACAGAATCCGGCGCCCCAACCGGGACTAGAACCCGGTGTGCCGGCGCCGCTAGGTGGAGGATTAGCCTATTGAGCCACGGCGCCGGCTTCCTTTTTTTTTTTTTTTAAAGATTTATTTATTTATCTGAGAGGGAGAGACGGAGAGAAAGGTCTTCCTTCCATTGGTTCACTCCCCAAATGGCTGCAATGACCGGAGCTGCGCCGATCCGAAGCCAGGAGCCAGGTGATTCTTCCCGGTCTCCCATGCAGGTGCAGGGCCCAAGCATGTGGGCCACCTTCTACTTTCCCAGGCCATAGGAGAGAGCTGGATGGGAAGTGGAGCAGCCAGGACTAGAACTGGAGCCCATATGGGATGCCGGCGCCGCAGGTGGAGGATTAACCTAGTGCGCCACAGCACCGGCCCCCAGAGTGGCAGTTTTCTACACACAATTTCTGCCACATAAAACAGGAATTTATTTGAACAAGAATTTCCTATTTGCAGACACTCATTTTCATGTTTCATCTCTTCTCTAAGGTCACTTTTGGTGCCCTGTTTTGATTTTTTGAACCACAATTTCCAAGCCCTTGGCACTGCAGCTCTCTGCAATACACCCCGGAATTCCTTCAAACCCCTCAGCGAGCACCTTCATTTCCTCCCTACCAGCCCCCCACCTCTGCTGCTGCTTTCCAGCGAAATTTCACCAAAGTATTAATTCTTAAAAGACAAGGTTTGGAGCACATTCTTCTTTAACCTAATCGCTTGGCTTTCTTTCTCATACATTAAACAACCCCTTTGTTGAACAATGAATGAGCCACCAGGACTAGTCTGGTTTCCTTCTTCACCTCTTCACCGATGACCTTTCTATAAACTTCCACTCCACCATTCTTCCCAGCCTTTCACTCTTCCCTGTAGTTTGCTGACAAACAACAAACCAAACTGAGTGCAATGAAAACATCAAATAACATTCATGAAAATAAAGCTGGCAATAGTGGAAAAGATTGAGTTGGCAAAACAAAAAAAGAGCCTAAAGAGAAATGTCAACCTCATTATATTAGGCTCAGGATTGTGAAATAGCCAGAGTGGCTAATTAGCAACAATTTTCAAAACAGTAGGTAGTGCAAGCAAGGGTGTTATGAGGTGGCCAGACCCATACACTATTGACGGGAATAAAACTGGTATAAGGGTGGGCATTTGGCTCAGCAGGTAAGATGCCTGTATCTCACCTTGGAGTACCTAGGTTTGCTGCCCAGCTCCAGCTCCTGACTCTGGTTTCCAGCTAGTGTAGACCCTGGGAGGCAGTAGGCATGGCTCAAGAAGTTGGGCTCCTGCCACTCATGTTCCCAGCTCCCAGCTTCGGCACTGGTCAGGAGCCCCCGTGGGCTTCTGGGAAGTGAACCAGCATACGCGAGCACAAGCCTGTGCTCTCGCTCTCTCGCCTCCCAAATAAATAAAGAAAAATTTTAAAAATAAATACAATAAAATCTGGACAGATACCCTATCTTATCTGAGCAGAATTCTCAACTAGCTTTATTTTCCGACATTAAACACTTCCTAGTATGCATTATTTCTATAATAAAAATGAATAATAAGTATAACATAAAACCCAGTAGTTAAGCAAAGCTCTAAAACTACAAAAAGTTAAAACCATGGATTTCTGTAATTGTTCCCCATTACTGTCATCTGTAATAAGCACTGGAGAGCCCCCTTTGGGGGAGGCACCTTGTCTCACTCATTTCTGTATTCTCCTCAGGGACACAGGGCCCCAACACAGCACAGACTCAAACAAGTATGTGGTAGAAGGGACAAATGGAAACCCAACACATACAACATCTTCCCTCTTGATTTCCAAATCAGTGGAACCTACTCAATTTCCTTAAAACTGCAGCAAAACTGTGGCTGCCTCCAAGATGTAACTGGATGAATTTGTATCACACAACAGTCCTAGAGAGATCTACGTAAGACACATATCCATCTCTGGATCTCTGTGAAAAGAGGTTTTACCACGAGACAAAAAGCACAACTTCGAGTATCTCCCGGAACAACTGCCTGCCTGTTCACAGTACAACATAAAACTATTTAGAAAAGATCAATATTTGAACATAGCATAATATGAATATAATCAAGCTCTGATTCAAACAATCATGATTATTAAAGAGTTGAACATTAAAAGGTATCTTAAATACTTACGCAGGAACACCATTAAACTCATCGGTAGTGACAAGTGGCATTTCCTTAATACTTCTTTGTTCTTTGGGGGGCTTCTTCATGGGTGCAGGTTCCTCAACTTTGACTAGCTCTTCAGGTTCCACATCGGACCCATTAACCCTAGAACAGAGATGTGCAGTGTACAAGCCACTCTCAGAACAAAGCAACACACTGGACATTTTCCCAACTAGAAATAATTAATATTAAATACATGATTTACCCTGTTAGAATTTTATAGCCAACATTTTTTTCTATCCCTGTGCCTCCACTATTAAGACTTAAATAGTAAAGAGAGTGTTGAAAAATTAAGTCCTCAAATCTTCAATAAGAGAAAGGTACTTAAAAAAGTGTTTGGGGAGCTGGTTAAGCCCCCACCTATGGCGCCGGCATCCCACATGGGTGCAGGTTTGTGTCCTTGGGTGCTGCTCTTCCAGCTCTCTGTTTATGGCCTGGGAGAGCAGTGGAAGATGGCCCAAGTCCTTGGGCCCCTGCGCCCATGTGGGAGACCCAGAAGAAGCTCCTGGCTCTGGACTGGCCCAGCTACAGCCTTTCCAGCCATTTGGGGACTGAACCAGCGGATGGAAGACCCTTCTCTCATCTCTCCCTCTCTCTGTAGCTCTGCCTCTCAAATAAATAAAGAAAATCTTAAAAAAAAAAAAAAATGTTTTGGAAGGGGCCAGTATTGTGGCACAGTGGGTTAAGATGCTGTTTGGGACACCAGTATGCCATATCAGAGGGCTGGTGTGAGTCCCAGCTACTCTGCTTCTGATTCCACTTCCTGCTACTGCATATCCTGGGAGGCAGCAGAAGATGGTTCAAGTACCTGGGTCCCTGCCAACTGTGTGGGAGTCCTGGATGGAGTTCCTGGCTCGTAGCTTTGGCCTGGCTCAGTCTGGCTATCCCAGACATTTTGGGGAGTCAACCAGAGGATGGATTTCTTTGTGTTTCTCTTTCTCTCTACCATTCTGCCTTTCAAATGAATAAATATTAAATCTTTTTTAGAAAGTCTGTGTAGGGCCAGTGCCATGGCTCACTTGGCTAATCCTCCGCCTGTGGCGCCCACATCCCATATGGGCGCTGGGTTCTAGTCCTGGTTGCTCCTCTTCCAGTCCAGCTCTCTGCTGTGGCCCGGGAAGGCAGTGGAGGATGGTCCAAGTGCTTGGGCGCCTGTACCCACATGGGAGACCAGGAGGAAGCACCCAGCTCTTGGCTTCAGATCGCCGTAGCTCCAGCCATAGCGGCCATTTGGGGGATGAAACAATGGAAGGAAGACCTTTCTCTCTGTCTCTCTCTCTCACTAACTCTACTTGTCAAATTAAAAAATAAAAATAAAAAAATAAAAAGTCTGTATAAAATGGAATTCAAAAATAAGTTTATTTTGGTGCAAAAAATTTTAAAATTCAAATATTGGTTTTTCCATGAAATTTGAAGACACTTTGTATACCTACATTTACATACACAAAACATAATATAGTATATAACATATCCTAAACATCTTCATCAGCTGCCCCAAAGTCAACGTGAGTAAACTTGAACTTAACCTCTTGAACAGCTTCTCTTCCTGACTTCCCTGGTCCTGAACCTAGAAACCTCAGTCAACTGTGACTTCTGTTTATCCTAATTTGTCTTGTTGGTTGCTTGTGTCCATCGCTACCTCTTGTAGACTCAGTTCAGTTGCTCGCAATGAGCACGGGTTACTCTTGGACCCAGTCCACCCAACTGTTAGCAGAAGCCAACAAACATAGCTCCTGCTCACCAGCAGGTGAGTCCAGAAACAGGCTGTGATTTCAAGGTTGTTTAGCTGTCAGAGAAGGAACAGACCTTTGTTGCAATAGTGGTTTGATTGCTCCAAGAAAGAAGATGTCGGATACAGAAAACAGTAGGTCCAACATGGAAGCCAGCAAAAGGGATCTCAGAAACATAGGAAGTGAGATCCCAAGATGACAGCTGAGCCCCAGACCCTTACAGCAACAAGGCCTGAGAGACAGAGGGTGACTCAGAAGATGGCCATCAAGATAAAAATGTCCCATGCTTTGGGATCATCATCTTATGAATCCTCACAGCAGACTCCAATGTACAACTGGCTGATCGTTACCTGTACTTCCTTGTCTTGACCATGTGCTAAGTAAATGCCTCACAGTCATTTCAGCCTATAAAACAGTTGTGCTTCGACCAAGCCATGAGAGCTGAAGCCAGGCCAGAGTGAGCTCTCTGGCCATATTCCTGCTGGGTATATAATGCCCATCCCACATTATAATCCTGGCACAAATTCTGTGATGTCCTGTGTTTCCAAGTATTCACTTGTGACCATTACTTAACTTTCTCTTCTTGTAAGGAAATTCCAAGAAACCTTGATAATGCCAAGGCACTCTACAACTTTGCTGGCAAAGGACTAGAGGGATGGGAGTGGGGAAATACTTGGAAGACAAAACAAAGGGCCTCCGAAATTATAAAGACAAACGGTGATGGAGGACCCTATTCAGAGCCGGGCAATGAAAACAGAAAGGAGAATGGAGACAGATTTTTAAAAACTGCAGGGAAGCAGAATGGACAAGTGATGGCTAACAGAGTGAAGGTGAGAAGTCTCTGCCTAGATGACAGAAGAACAGGGCCTGGTAACAAGACGGCCAGAGCTCAGTCTTGGGCATGCAAAGTTTGGAGAGAAAACAGCTCACTCAACAGTCTTCGCATGCCGTGAAAGCGCCAGTGCAAGACGTCACATCAAAGCTAGAGTGGGACACCTGGGGGCTTTGGCAGTGTTGCTGAGAAAGCGTGAGGAAGCCACATCAGGAGATGCCTGTGATACAAGGGAGGGCAGAGGGAAAGGGGGCGGCTAGGTCAAAGCCATGGGACAACTCGGGAAGCACAGAGGCACTGCAGGAAGTGGAGCTGCAGAAACAAAGAGGTGGTAAGCAACACGAGATCTGAGAAGCAGGATCAGGATCGGGGCAGAAGAGGGATTTTCTGAGCCAATTTGGCCTTCCAGCCATCAATGTCATGGTGTGATGGCAACAACAGCTAAAAGGCAGGTGTCAGGTGACCGGGAGGAGGCAGAGCACAGACACTCACCATCAGCAAGTGGCGTGCCAGGGACAGGTGGAGGTTGCAGGGGGGAAAAGTGGGTCTTGTTCCTTCGGCTGCTTTTAAGAGACGTGCATTAGGCTTAACCTTCACTAAGGCAGTGGTTCTCAAGGATCAAGGGAGCTGCCCACAGAAGAGGCTCGGCAAGGTGTGCAGATGGCTGTCACCGTCACGCTGGGGAGACGGGGGTGCTACGGGTACCTACCCGATGGGCAGAGACCAGGGACACTGCTACATGTCCTCTTTTCCAGCAAAGAACAATCCAGCCTCAAATGCCAACGCAGCCAAGGTTGACGACGGAAAGACAGAGCCAGGAGGGCCTTGTCCTTGGGACACAGGGGCGACAGTGTCCTCGGGACAAGAAAAGTGGTGGAAATGGGAAAATCGTGTTTCTAATGTTCAGGGACGAAAACCTGGGTAGTCGTTGACAAAACTGCCAAGCACCTCAAAGAATGAAAAGCGATTTGCTTCTATGGCTTTATAATCCAGACAGCAAGAATAATCCTAAGTATACTTACAAGTTCTGGGTTACGGTTACTTGAGGCAAATGGCAAGGGATGTTTTCTTTGAGATGTTCCACATCTTTATAATCTTCTTCAAGAGATGCACAGAGTTCCTTAAATGAAGATGAAAAAATAAATAAATAAAAACCTCACTAATGAGCATCTGTCCCCACCGCCTCCCTTGCGTGTGAAGACATTACAAAGGGCAGGAGAGACTGCACCATCATCACACCAACTGTTTGAACTGGCAACACAGAATGAAGTAAGCGTTGAATGCAGCGACATGGGGCGGGGGAAAAAGAGTCTTTGGTTCCTGAGCTGCTTTTGGATGGTGATATTTTTCTTTCTTTCTTTTTTTTTTTCTTTTTAAGATTTATTTATTTTGAAAGTCAGAGTTACAGACAGAGAGAGCTCTTCCATTTGCTGGTCCACTCCCTAAACGGCCAAAATGGCTGGGGCTGGGCCAGGCCGAGGTGTCAGAAGCTTGGAACTCCATGTGGGTCTCCCAGGTGGATACAGGGGCCCAAGGACTTGGGCCATCTCCCACTGCTTTCCCGGGTGCCTTAGCAGGGAGCTGGATGGGAAGTGGAGAAGCCAGGACTCAAACCAGGGCCCATACGGGGTGCTGGGGCTGCAGATGACAGCTTGATCCACTGCGCCACAACACTGGCCCCAAAATGGTGATGTTTTTCTCTCTTGGATTTTTCAGGGAACAAACCCTGAATCACATTACAGTTACAAGGCAGGGAGGGTTGAGATTTAAGACTTTCTCAAATACTTTAACCTTAGGAGGCAACTAAAAAATATATGAGAGATTCATGCTTTTCATTCTGGTATATTGCTTTTGTTGACTTGGCAAATGTTCCCAGCAGTACCTGCGAGACAGCGCCACAGTGACAATGCATGCCCAGGGGCAAGCACGAGGTACTGCTTACAGTGACTTCCACTGTAATTCTCTTTTAGTATAATTGTTTTTTGTGTGTGTATCTCTGTGTATGTTGCATTTAACTTCCACTAGAACTTGGGACTACAGACTCATGCACATTTTAATAAGGAAAATATCTCCTGCCTGTGGATTCCTGTCATCTGGCTCCCAATAATAATGTAAACATTATTTCCAAACAGCCATCAGCTGTGAGCTGACTAACCCCTAGGCACACATCAAGCACGGGGCACCCTGGGATAGGTCAGAATTGAATCTCAATGTTGGTTTCCATTTTGGAGTAAATGACATCTCTCTTGCAGAGCTGAATGATGTTCATAGACATGAATTTCATTTTCACCAATAGTAGGAAAGGCACAATAATGCCCATTCCTATAGCTGAAAAATCTTTACAGACCTTAAGGATCATAAGGCAAAATGGGACCATGGAGACAGACTTGTTCAATCCCAGTAAACATCTGACGGCTGTAACAACAGTGTGAGGTAATCACGGTACAGATTGAGAAATTTTCCCATCAGGAAGGCCACAGCACTTTTATTAGCTGAAGGCTTCTTTACAACAAAAATGTGTGTGTGGATGAACTCCCAGCTTTTCCTTAGCTGGAAAAGCCTTACATCAATTTTATAAAAACTTACCAAGCATCATTTAGAAAACCCTTGTTCTTAGCAAAGTTCAATTCATTTGCCATCAGCAGGAAGAAATAGCTGTGGAGCTCTGGACTCCTTCATGCCAGGAAAATAACAGAAATGGCACTCCATGCCATCAATAATTTACAGAGCTAAGAACACGATAAGTTTAAAGAATCCTGGTGATTAGGGAATTTCTATGTATTGCCTTTTTACTTTGCATCTTCATTAGAAAAACATTACCTTAAGGGAACTGTTGGTTTGTTCTTGATATTGAATTTCCAATTCCAATTTATTTAGTAGTTCATTTACTGCAAAGATCTCGCCTCCTATTTTATTTAATACATTCTTCAAGGTAGGTTCTTGGCCTGTTACAAACAAACATAAAATGGAAGACAAAGCGCACAGAAAAGCAACAGCTGTCAAGCACCCATGTGAACTCTTGGAACCGAGGGTTGGAATAACACCTTGGGCAGCAAAAGGACTGCTTCAGCCCCTAGGACTGTCACCTTGGATGATCCTAACACTTCATTTCTAAGCAGTCCGGAAGAGAAGGCGGGGAGAGGCAAGGACAAAGTGTCCCCTGAGTCTTTTGTTTCTGGCAAACTCCTCCACTATAATAAAACCCTTAGAGAACAAACACCCATTGACGTGCATTGCTGAGCTTTCAGGAAAACAGGGTAGACCTCCTGGAGTTCTGGTCTGAAGAGAGGACCTAATGGTGTGGTCCATCTCAGCAAGTAAATATAACTGATTTTAAGGGGATAAGATCCAAGGCACTGGGGCTTCAAAACACAGGTATTGGGAGTGAGACCTCCATATGAGGCCAGGACAACTCGTCATAGGATGTACCTTCAATGACATACAGACTGGAAAATCCTAGTCACTGGCCAGGGAGATAGGCTTCTATTTTGGACTGGTTCTCAGGGTGTGTGTGTGTGTGTGTGTGTGTGTGAAGGATGTGGTGGTGAAACTGAGGAAGTTCTCTTTGGGACTCACTCTGGCTTGGCATTTGTAATTATACATCTACAAGCAAAGAAAGTAATATCAAAAGTCACAGGCTGGGCCGGCACCGCAGCTCACTAGGCTAATCCTCCGCCTGCAGCGCCGGCACACTGGGTTCTAGTCCCGGTCAGGGCGCCAGCTCTCTGCTATGGCCAGGGAGTGCAATGGAGGATGGCCCAAGTACTTGGGCCCTGCACCCCATGGGAGACCAGGATAAGTACCTGGCTCCTGCCATCGGATCAGCGCGGTGCGCCGGCTGCAGCGCACCAGCCCAGGCGGCCATTGGAGGGTGAACCAACGGCAAAGGAAGACCTTTCTCTCTGTCTCTCTCTCTCACTGTCCACTCTGCCTGTCAAAAAAAAAAAAAAAAAGGTCAGGCTGGTGATAACATTGGCATCCAGGCAGAAACACACACGCTCAGAAAGTAGCTCGATTTCATAGTCACAACCCCACCTCCGCCTGCCAGCATTTTTCTCTAGTTTCAGAGACTTAAGAAGGATGTGCAGGGACTGGCGTTGTGGTGAAGCAGGTTAAGCTGCTGCTTGTGATGCTGGCATCCCATCTGGGCACTGGTTCAAGTCCCAGCTACTCCACTTCTGACCTGGCTCCCTCTAACGTGGCTGAGAAAGCAAGGGAGAATGACCCAAGTCCTTGGGCCCCTGCACCCACGTGGGAGACCCGGATGAAGCTCCTGGCTTCAGCCTGGCCCACCTCTGGCTATTGTGTTCATTTGAGGAGTGAGCCAGAAGATGGAAGATCTCTTTCTCTGTCCCTCCATCTCTCTGTAATTCTGCTTTTTCAAATAAACAAATAAGTCTTTAAAAAAAAAAGGATGTGAAATCCAGAGTCCCTTTTCTAGAAATAAAAGAAGTAACAAAAAAAATTAGCCGGCGCCGCGGCTCACTAGGCTAATCCTCCGGCTAGCGGCGCCGGCACACCGGGTTCTAGTCCCGGTCGGGGCGCCGGATTCTGTCCCGGTTGCCCCTCTTCCAGGCCAGCCCTCTGCTGTGGCCCGGGAGTGCAGTGGAGGATGGCCCAGGTGCTTGGGCCCTGCACCCCATGGGAGACCAGGAAAAGCACCTGGCTCCTGGCTCCTGCCATCGGATCAGCGCGGTGCGCCGGCCGCATCGCGCTGGCCGCGGCGGCCATTGGAGGGTGAACCAACGGCAAAGGAAGACCTTTCTCTCTGTCTCTCTCTCTCTCACTGTCCACTCTGCCTGTCAAAAAAAAAAAAAAAAAAAAAGTCAGGGGCAGATTAAAAGTACAAAAGAAAAACATCCTGGTAATTAAATTTTTCCATCTGTACTTCCAGGAATTTAACAATGAGATACACATAAGGAAAACCACACTCTGGCCATATCTGTCAATTACGGAGGCAGTAAAGTAAACTGACCAGAAGCTCCTGGCCTGAAGTCAGACAGTAGTACCTACTGCATGTGGTTATTGCAATGAAAAGTGGGAATGCAGGAGACGAGCTCAGCACTGTACCTGGAACCAGCAAAGCCCCCACGAATGCTAACCATGACTCATCATGCATATACTGTACAGTCTAACAGAGCAAGCTCAGCTCCTAACAGTTGAGACAATAGGTAGTGTACTGATATCTCTACTAAGGATAATTTCAGAGGGTTAGATAACTTGTTGGATATGGTATCTCTTCCCTACACACTGATATCTCAAAGAACTCTTAGTCAGGGTGGGCAATGTGGCATAGATGGTTAAGCCTCTGCCTGCAGTGCCAGCGTATCATATGGGTGCTGGTTTGAGTCCCGGCTGCTCCACTTCCAATCCAGCTCCCTGTTAATGTGTCTGGGAAAGCAGTGGAAGATGGCCCAAGTACTTGGGTTCCTGCACTCTTACATGGGACACCTGGAAGAAGCTCCTGGCTCCTGACTTCAGCCTGGCCCAGCCCTGGCCCTGGCGGCCATTTGGGGGGTGAACCAGAGGACAGGATTGATCTCTCTGTTGCTCCCCTTCTTTCTCTGTATTTCTGCCTTTCAAATAAATAAAAAAGAACTTTTAGTCACCTAATTATTAGGGCCTCCTTTACTGCTCTGTAGTAATATGATAATCAATGCACTAAATTCACTATTTTTGATAGTGAATCTAGTAAGTTACAGCTGGCAAATCAGCTGCTGGGCTTTATTAAATAAGCCATGGAATCCAGCAAACTGTTCTCTCCACATACAACCTGATGGCCGTCCCAGGTGTAGTAATTTTTTTTAAATATTTATTTAGTTATTTGAAAGGCAGAGTTAGAGAGAGGCAGAGGCAGATAGAGAGGTCCTCCATCTGCTGGTTCACTCCCCAGATGGCTGCAATGGCTGGAGCCAGGCCGATCCAAAGCCAGGAGCCAGGAGCTTCTTCCGGGTCTCCCATGTGGGTGCAGGGATCCAAGGACTTAGGCTATCTTCTACTGCTTTCCCAGGCCATAGCCGAGACCCACATCAGAAGTGGAGCTGCTGGGATCTGAACCAGTGCCCTTATGGGATGCTGGCACTGCAAGTGGCAGCTTTACCCGCTACGCCACAGTGCCAGCCCCATGTGTAGTAATCTAATAGGTCCAGTTGTTCCATCAGGCCTCATGCCTTAATGGACACATCAGAAGTCAAGGTTTGTTGGTTCTACATCTCCAAATTATATCTGTTTATGCAATAGTAATCATGACCTCAGAAAGAGAATCAAAACAAGACCAATTATTAAAAATCTTAAAGTCCTTTATATACTGTTTTCAAGAAAAGTAGCACAAAATTAGAAAGAGTACCTAATCAGGGAACCAAGACACAGAAATTGTCATCCCAAAGGAGTACTCACGAGAAGACATTTGCTTCCTCGTGTGTGAAATGACAGTTCTACAGGGAGTGTGAACCATGACCGTAAATTGTATGAGTCCTTTTTATTACAAGTTCTCAGTAAAGGACTGAAAATCAAAATCTTAAAGGGCATATCCAACTTTATAATTTCATATGTGAACACAATTTTTTAACTGTCAATTTGATAGAGTCTGGATGTGGTTGGCCCCCCGGAGCTTCCTGGGCTGGAAGTGTGGGCCCAGTGTGGCCGTGGTGGGAGGTGCTGGAACCTGTCAGGGAAGGGCCTGGTACAGATGGGTCACTGGGGACACTGCCCTCAGAAGGGATGAATGTCGTTCTCCGGGGTCCCAGTGAGTTCCCTGGAGAGCAAGCCTGGTGCCTGGAGCTCTCTGGCCACTCTGTCGCACACACATCGCCGTCTGATACCATTCTCCCAGGTTGTGATATAGCCAGAAGACCCTTCCAAGAGCTGAGCATGCGTTGGCACCTTGCTCTTGAATCTTTAGAATTGAGAGCTAGAAAACCCTCTTTTCATTAGAACGTGCCCAGCCTCAGGTATTCTGTTGTGACAACAGACAGCAGACAAATGCACAATTCATGATACCAACTACAGTGAAAGTTCAACACAATCTTCCCATCCGATGGAACTCTGCCTGCCGCTAAGTCTCTAAGTCTCCTACTAGGGCTGGAGAGCACGTCCTTTTTTTTTTTTTTTTTTTTTTTTTTTTTGACAGGCAGAGTGGACAGTGAGAGAGAGAGACAGAGAGAAAGGTCTTCCTTTTGCCATTGGTTTACCCTCCAATGGCCACCTCAGCTGGCACGCTGCGGCTGGTGCACCGCGCTGATCCGATGCCAGGAGCCAGGTGCTTATTCTGGTCTCCCATGGGGTGCAGGGCCCAAGGGCTTGGGCCATCCTCCACTGCACTCCCGGGCCACAGCAGAGAGCTGGCCTGGAAGAGAGGCAACCGGGACAGAATCCGGCGCCCCGACCGGGACTAGAACCCCGTGTGCCGGCGCCGCAAGGCGGAGGATTAGCCTAGTGAGCCGCGGCGCCGGCCTGGCTTCCTTTTTTTAACCAATATTTACAGTTGACAACGATCATTTGTTTCTCTGAACCTTCCCTGTATCATCCTTTTTCTGCATGTCAAAAATAATTTCGAAGATGGTTAAAACCTCCAGGCTTATGGATGTCTTAAACATTTTTATTTCGTTTTCAAGTACTTGTTTCCCAGCAAAATACAGTGATAAATTTCCTTCAAAGCAGGCTGTCCTTGTAAGATGGGAAATGGACTACATCTACCCCTGTGGATCTTAGCTACTGCTGGGACTCACCCTGGCCTCTTACTGTCGCCCTTTAGAGATGGAACCATGGATACCACATGCCCTTCAAGCCTGCATTGGCTTACCTGTCTCAGAAAATGTAAGTCCTCAAGTCCGAAGAACATCTAGTCATCATCCAACATACCTTACGTTTTTAGTATCCTCTGCAATATTCAAAAATCACTACTCAAAATCGAAGATCACCTTCCTAAGATACACTCGCTTCACCAGGCGTAAGATAGCATTCAAAGTGGACCAATAGCCGAAGCACGGCGCATACAGAAACGGGCAATCTGTTCTACTTACCAAGGTTTCTCAGCGACAGGGTCTTTCTAATATTGCCAATCTTTTCATTAACATGGCAGCATAACTGTTCCAGCTCTGAGGCCATCCTGTAAGCCTCTGAAGAAAAAAATAGAAACACACTTGCTTAAAAAAAAAAAGCAGCCAAATTTGTGTTGACTTTCGAAAGCCAAGAATGGTAAACAGCACGTGAATCAGATCTCCTGGTCAAAACGCAGTTTCTAACCAGAGACCTTGTCCTAAAGTCTTCTGCGGTCAGTACCGGTCACAAACCAAGGGTCAGGGGGTCATTCTGGGGCATTTCCTTAAGGATTTAGGACAGCGGCACTATTTACATAATTTACATTAAAAACAATGCATTTAAAAGAACACATGCATTTTAAAGAAACATAGTAATTTCAAAAAAAAAAAAAGGGGCGGGGTGTCCCGCGCAGGACTTTCCTGTGCCGTGGGAGGGTTTGAGGTCAGGAAAGGAAGGAAGAAGCCCGCTCCCATCCGCTGCCAGGGTGACTGAGAAGCGGCCGCCCGACGCTCCGGCTCCAGGTAAGCCGAGCCCCGAAGGTGCGGCCAGGAGAGGCCCCGCGCCCCCCAGCCCGCCAAGCAATCCCTCGCGCTGCTTCGAGCGCAGGATCCCTAACGCCCGACTCCCACCTCGCGCCGATCCGGAAGCAACAGAGCCCGGTGCGTCGCCAGCTGTAGACAACCCGGTCTCCTTCGGCAGCCCGGAAGCCCAGGGCGCGACTCCGGGAGTGAAATTCAAACCGCCCGCCACGCCGCGCGCTGCGCAGGCGCAAATCTCGCCCCTGACGCCCGGGCTCAGCGGCTGCCCGCTCCTCCCGGCACTGGGCGGGGCTGGGGAGCAGAGAGAGGCGGGGCCGGGGCGGAGCCTGGACGAGGGGAGGCGGGGCGGCTTCCGGGAAGACAAGGCTGGGGCGGGTGTCGCTGGTGCCGCAGGCTTCCCCAGGTCGGGCGGCCGTGGCTTGGTACAGACTGCCACGCAGCGCTCCTGAGGTGAAACCGTAAGCCATCACAGTGGTTTTTCAGACGTGTCTAGGCCGTGCCCGGAGACACCCCGGAGGTGGCACCGGAGTTTAAGTATTTTTTTTTTATAAAACACTCCGGTTAATGCCAAAAAAGCAGCCAATTTTGTGAGCGATGCTAACATCAGACAAAATAGACTTTAAATCAAGAAATGTCACACAAGACAAAGTAATTATATATTAATTAAATATAGCAAGATACAATTATAAGTATTCATGAACCTAATAACAGACCATCATAATCTAAACACAGGCACACAGAATTTAAGAGTGGGGCGGGCATTTGGCACCGTGGTTACCACTGGCATCCCATATCAGAGAGCCTGGCTCAAGACCTGGCTCTGCTCCCAATTCTAGCTTCTTGCTAATGCACGCCCTGGGAGGCAGTAGGTGATGACGCAAGTACTTGGGTCCCTGCCACCCACTTGGGACACCTGGGTGGAGTTTCTGGCTCCCCGCCCTGGCCATTGTGGGTGCTCGGAGAGTGGACCAGTAGACTGGAGCTCTGTCTGTCTGTCTCCGCCTTGTTTTCACTCTGTGGCTCATTATCTCTGTTTCTATCTACATTTGAAATAAATGTTAAAAAATTGAAGGAAGATAGGGAAGTTAATTGTGGACAGGACAGCCAGACAGAAGTGTGGGTCACAGTGACAAAATACCCCAAGCCAGGTAGTTGTAAAGGAGACGGGTTTATGTAGCTCACAGTTCTGGGGGTCATCATCTCTGCGCTGGTGAGGGCCCCATGGCAGATGACCTCACAGTGTGGGAATGCATAGGAGGACACATGGAGGGAGAGAGGAGACCCTAAAACAGGAAGCCAGGAGCAGGGCAGGGCCAATAACAGCTCTCTGTCCCTCTCATGAGAACTAAGGTTCCACAGTAACTATCCTCATCTCTTCCAAGAGCAGTGCCTCTAGTGACCTAACCCCCTTCCACTGCTCTCCACCTCTTAAAGGTTCTGCTTACCATCACCACGTGGAGTTCCAACCAGCCTTCCAATTCCAAAGCCAAACCATAGCAATAAGTAAGGAAGTACAGGACTTGTGTAACATAATAAGCTCACTATGTTATAGTGAAGGAGACAGAGACCAGAGAAAGGGCCAGAGGAAGTATGTCACCGTTTGTCACCATCTGCTTTCCCAGGGCTGCCTCTAAAACTTCTCCCATGGCCAGCAAGCCCAGGTCGCTATTGTAGCAAAGCCTCCCAGAACCAGCACTGGCAGAAAAATACAAGGCTTGAAACATCAACATTCTAGAAAGATTAGCACAGGAACAGAAACAACCTGCAGCACCAAGGACAAACATTGTCAGACTGTTTACCACGAGAAAGACAGACAAGAAAGCATAAAGGCACTGGATGGGGCCGGCGTTTTGGCACAGCAAGTTAAGCCTCTGCCTGTGACACAGGCCTCCCAGATGGGCATCAGTTCAAGACCTGGCTGCTCCACTTCTGAACCAGCTCCCTGCTGATGTTCCTGAAAAAGCAGCAGAAGATGGCCCAAGTCCTTGGGCCCCTGCACCCATATAAGAGACCCAAAAGAAGCTCCTGGCTTCGGCCTGGCCCAGCCCCGGCTTTGCGACCATTTTGGGGAGTGTATATAAGTGTATAAGTGTATATAAGTGTATATAAGTGTATAAGTGTATATAAGGTTTTCTCTCTCTCTCTCTCTTTCTCTCTCTCTCTATAACTCTGCCTTTCAAATAAATAAAGAATAAATCTTAAAAAGAAAGTGAATTATGTTTGTCTAAAACAAAGACAGTTGATACAGGAAGAGAGTAAGAAATGGGAAAAGACACAGGAATGAACAGTTGGATCACACTACTTAATTCATATTTCTTTCTAGGACTGGTTTGTCAGGATTCCCTTAATTACAATAACAGAAAGTCAGTCCAAGCTGACTTATGCAAGACAAAAAGACTTTACTGCTTACAGAACCGTGACATGTGTGTATCTTCAGTTACAGTTAATCACAGACACTGAAACCTAGTATTAGCAAGCCGATCTCCACCTGTCAGTTCTGTATTCCTTTGCGTTGGCTCCATTCCTGGACAGGTTTTCCCATGGAAGTCTCTGCTCCCTCAGTCGTACATCTTTATCGGTTAGCAATTCTCGCTTAAAAAAAAAAAAAAAAAGATGTTTATTTGTTTGAAAGGCAGAGTTACAGAGGGAGACAGATCTTCCATCTGTTGGTTCACTCCCCAAATAGCTACAACAGCCAGGAGTGGGCCAGGCCAAAGCCAGGAGCCAGGATTTTCATCTAGGTCTCCTACATGGGTGGTAGGGGCACCCAGGCTCCTTAGCAAGGAGCTGGATCAGAAGTAGAGTAGTTGGAACTCAAACCAGAGCCCATATGGGATGCCGGCATTTCAGGTGGTGGCTTAACCAGCTATGCCACAATGCTGGTACTAGCAGTTCTCAATTTCTTAACAGACCCAGCAAAAGCCCCATGACTGCCTTCATTGGCCTGAGTTGAGTCATCTGTCCACAATAAAACCAATCCATTTATGTAGATGGGTAAAATGGTCTGATCAGCCTGACACCTTGGAGCTGGGAGCCAAGTCAGCCTTACCCCAAAAACAAGTGAGAATAGAACAGAAATGGTTTCCTCAAAGGAAAATCTAGGTGCTTAGGGGTAGTAGGGCTGGGGAGCAGGTGAGGGTAGACCCGTGTTGGAATCAGGTAAAAACAAAGCAAGAACAAATGTATACATGTATACTTCATGGTTATACATGTATACTTCATGGTTATGATCCTAGATATATGAAAGAAAACAACAGAGAGCAAGACTAAGTCATGGCTGAACTGCTCCTTGCAGAAATACGGACAAGATTGAAAGTAGTGTGAACTCCAGGAAAAAGTAGTAACGGCAGTAATGTCGATTAACAGCAGGTGCTCGCTCTGATCCAAGCATTTTACGTCTGTTATCCTGTTTGATCTTCATAATACATTTATGAAAACCTACAATTATCACATGCACTTTACAGATCAGGAAAGAGGCTTAGAATGAGTAGCCTGCCCAGGTCAATCAATGCCACAGTGGGTTCGTGCCTTCAGGGCCTCTTCTCTTGACCATGATGATCTGTTGCTTCTCAGGGGCAGGGGGTCATTCTCTCCCAAGTTTTGTGATTCTGAACCTAATGATTTCCATCACTGTTTAATCCCATCATATTGTTTATATGATTGCATGATAAATCATGAATATACCATCCCATTCCCTACTGGCCTTTAAATTGTTTATTGCCAGTCTGATGGGGATTAACTTACCTGTGACTTGATGCTTTCCTTATTGCTTTGAGAATTCTCTTTGCCTTGTATTTTTTTTTTTAAGATTTACTTATTTATTTGAAAGAGTTACAGAGAGAGAGGCAGAGAATATTCCATCCACTGGTTCACTCCCCAGATGACCGCAACGTTCAGTGCTGGGCCAAGCTGAAGCCAGGAGCTTCTTCCAGGTCTCCCATGTGGGTGGCAGAGGCCCAAACACTTGGGCTATCTTCCACTGCTTTTCCCAGGTCACTAGCAGGGAGCTGGATTGGAAGTGGAGCAGCTGGGACACGAACCAGCATCCATACGGGATTCCTGCAGTGGTTTTACCTACTATACCACAATGCCAGCCCCTGCCTATACTTTTAACAGTTTGACCTTAATATATTTCAGAGAGAGTCTTTTTTGGTCAAATCTATTAAGAGGTCATTGGCTTTCTCAACCTTCCTGTCCATATCTTTCCCAAGACTTTATAAACATTTAGCAATTTTTAAATAGGTTTTTCTATGTCTTTTTCTTTTTTTTTTCTTTCTGAACTACCATAATGCAAATTTTGCTTACTTGATTGTGACCCATAAGTCTCATTGGGCTTTATCATTCAAATTTTTTTTCTATTCTGATTGAATTATTTCAACAGCCCTGTCTTTGAGCTCACAAATGTTTTCTTCTGCTTGATCTTGTCTGCTGTTGAGCCTCTCAACTGTATTTTTTATTTTGTTGATGATTCTTGAGCTCCAAGATTTCTGTTTGGTTCTTGTTTATGATCTCTTATTGAACTACTCATTCAGGTCATGAATTACTTTCCTAATTTCATGGAACTATCTGTATTCTCTTCATCTCATTGAATTTCTTTAAAAATCATTAATTTGAATTCTTTTCTGGGCAATTCATCAGTTTCCTTTTCCTTGGGATTTGTTGCTAGAGAGTTACTGTGTTCCTTTGGAGACACCATATTAACACAGTTTTTTCATACTTCTTGTGACCCTACATTGGTATTTGTGAATTTAGCAGATCAGTTGTCCGTTTCAATTTTATAGGGTAGCTTTTGTAGTAAAAGACATTTTCCTAGCAAGGTATCTCCTAGGGTCTCAGTTGGGTAGGCTGCATTGACTTTGCTTCCAGGTGACTTAAGTGTTAGTGTGCCTGTATCTTCTTCAGCTGTAGTTATCATCAGTGATGCCGAGAGGCTTCAGTGGTTGTCGGATTGCCCATCAACCTGGATGTAGCTCTGTTAGGTTGGACAGGTTCTCCAGTGGCTCTGAGCACGTGTGACCAACTGTGAGTTTCTGCAGGTTATGTAGGGACAGGACCACCCTGAGGCAGGTGCAGCAGAGGTGGTGTGCATGTCTGTTTCCAAGGGTCAGGCAGGAGTGGGATAATGTCATTTGGCCAAGATGAGTGTGGCACATCATGCCTGATGGCAGAATAGGGTGGGTATCAGTGTCCGAGGGTCACTTGGGGACTGGGCCACATCAAAGGATCTAGACAGGGCACACCGTCAGTGTCTGTGGGCCACATGAGTGACTTTGAGGGCCTCTGGGAGCCGACTTGTTTAAGATAGGCTGATTGGCTGCCTCCTGGTGTAATGGGTGGATGGCGAGGATTGCTCCCATACTTCCTGGGTCTCACTGGGCTGAACTTCTCAGAACAGGCTGCCTGTCAACTTCTTGAGGGCTACAGGAGAATGGGAAGGGCCACAGCTGCTTCCTGGGAGCCTGGACAGGCCAAGTATTAAGGGCAGACTATTTGGCAGCTTGCTGAGATTGTGGGTGAGTAGATGAGGCTGCCCATTGGATTCCCAGAGCCTTTGAGGGGTCAACCACTCAGAGAAAGCTGCCTGGTTGCTTTTGGGGGCACTAGGAAGGTGAGCAGGATTGCTCAGCTGATTCACAGGGTTGGGCTGGCCATGGTACTATGGGCAGTTGCCCAGCTGCTTCCCAGAATCCTGGTGGGTACAGGTCTCAGGATGGTTCTATGCAGCAGGAGCCTGGGTAAGGGAGGAAGAACCATGAGCTGGCCTCTTTTTCCAGGGCAACACAGCTGTGTGTACAGCCAGCAACTTGTCCAACTGAGCTTAGAGACAGACATGAGGGGTTCAGATTTCTCCAGCATCAAGGGAGGGGCTTCAAAATTTTCATGCTAAAATAAAATTAAAAGATAATATGAATTTTCCATGAAGTTCTTGAAGCTCGCTCTACTTTAGGTGTCTTTAGTATGCATGAGGACTTCCAGGGACCTTCTGTAATACATTCCCTGTGCAAAGTCTCTCTTGGTTCAGGGTCAATGTCAAGAGACAAGACAATAGGTGCGTTGTGCTTAGTTCCATTACTTAGAAGACTGTCGTGTAACTCTGTGCTCTGCAAAGACTCTGCCACAGCCACACCACACTACAGAGCTCTGCCTCAGTCACACTAGTGGAATCATTGCTTTTTCTTTTTGGACCTTTTTTATGGAGCCAGGTGTGCCAGGCGTCTCTAGTCAGCCATCTTGCTGACATCACTCAGTACTCCACTAACTTGACAGAAAAGATTCCATTTGTACAATTTGTACTTCCTCTTTGTCTTTTTCTTGCAGCCAAGTGTCAAGTAAGAATTAACTCAGAGCCTGATTATACAATAAAGATTAAGGACTCTATAAGCAATAAGACTCTGCATTCCTGAGCATCTTGGGAAATATGTATTGTAATAGTTTTCACCGATGACTAGTGACACACTGATCCAGTAAGTTTTCGAACAGCCTTATACTTCTCTGGTGTTGGTGGCTCTTATTTCAGGAGAGGGAAGTCCTAGGTGGTCGATCAGGCACATTCTGAGATGCCTCATTGATCTGACCTGTCCTAGGGCAGATTATGTTCTTACATTTCCTACTAAGCTACACTCCTTTGGCCTGTTATAAAAAAAATCTTTTTCCAGCTGACTAAGTCCAATGCATGTACTTGTACCACAGTTCTCACTGGGGTAATTTCTCAATTCTCATTAACTTTCACAGCAGCTGCTCTGGTTCCTTTTGAACATTTGTCCCCTGAACTGAGGGGTTTGGCCCCTAAAGTCTTATGCTAATGGTACTAAGAGGGTGGGAACCTGATCCCACTCTGGTGTTTGGAGGCGGGGACCTTTGGGAGTGATTGGATTGGATTGGATTGGATTGGGCGGTTAGGGTAGAGTCCCCATGATTAAATCCTATGGCTTTATAAGAAACCACATAGGGGCTGGCTGTGGCACAGTAGGTTAATCTTCCACCTGCAGTGCCAGCATCCTATAGGGGAGCCTGTTCCAAGTCCCAGCTGCTCCTCTTCCTATCCAGCTCTCTGCTATGGCCTGAGAAAACAGTAGAAGATGGCCCAAGCACTTGGAACCCTGCACCCATGTGGGAGACCCTGAAGAAGCTCCTGTTTCCTGGCTCCTAGCTTTAGATTGGTGCAGCTCCAGCTATTGCGGCCATCTGGGGAGCGAACCAGCGGGTGGAAGACCTCTCTCTTTGTCTCTCCCTCTCACTGTCTGTAACGCTACTTTTCAAATAAATAAATAAAATCTAAGAAAGAAAGGAAGGAAGGAAGTAAGGAAGGAAGTAAGGAAGGAAGAAAGGAAGGAAGAAAGGAAGGAAGGAAGAAAGGAAGAAAGGAAGGAAGAAAGGAAGAAAGAAAGGAAGAAAGAAAGGAAGGAAGAAAGGAAGGAAGGAAGGAAGAAAGGAAGAAAGGAAGGAAGAAAGGAAGAAAGAAAGGAAGAAAGAAAAAGAAAGAGAGAAAGAGAGAAAGAAAGAAAGAAAGAGAAAGAAAGAGAAAGAGAAAGAAAGAGAAAGAGAAAGAGAAAGAGAAAGAAAGAAAAGAAACCACATAGACAGACAGATAC